ACTGGAGCTGCAAGTGGTCTTGGCAAAGGTGTTGCTCAACGACTTGCTCATATGGGATGCACATTAATCCTTTGGGATGTCGATGAAGCTGGTAATGCTCGTGTGGCTCAAGAACTCAATCAAGAGACAAAATCAAAACGCGTTCATGCGATGAAATGTGATCTTACAAGCAGAGAAAGTATCTATGAATGTGCTAAAAAGGTATATACAGAATATGCTACATGTATATAATTATATACAAATACAAATTATTTAGGTTCAAGATACTGTAGGAAATGTAACAATGGTCATTAATAATGCTGGTGTTGTTTCAGGTAAGCCGTTGGTAGAGTGTAGTGACGCATCCATTCAACGTACATTTGATGTTAATGTTCTTGCACATTTTTGGGTATGTTGCAATTAAGGATTATAGTTTCTATATATTTATTTTTATATTTGTAGATCTTGAAAGCATTTTTACCATCAATGCTAGATAATAATCATGGTCATGTTGTAACAGTTGCAAGTGCTGCTGGTCTAACTGGTACAGCACGTCTTGTTGATTATTGTTCATCAAAATTTGCCGCAGTTGGTTTACATGAAGCTTTAACGTAAGGATAACATTTTAGAGAATCATGATAAACTATATGAAGCTTATTTTAGACAAGAATTGTATGCTTTGAAAAAGACTGGTGTAAAAACAACTGTTGTTTGTCCAAGTTTTATCAATACAGGCATGTTTGAAGGTGTTAAAACTGAGTAAGATATTAAATAGTTTCAAGCAAAATATATTTATATTTTATTTAGTGTATTATTTCCACTAATAAAATCTGACGATATATGTGATAAAATTGTTGAAGCTATTCGAAAAGATCAACACATGCTATTAGTACCAAAAAGCTTAGGACCAGCATTGGTCATGAAAAGGTTAGGCGGAGAAAAAAACTCATTATTTTTCTTTTTACTTGATTTTTTTATTATTTGATATTAGTATTATATCAACAGCAGCTCAGCTTGAAATACAAAGTTTAAGTGGTGTTGATCATTCTATGGATACATTTGTTGGACGTCGTTGAAGACATAAAGTGGATTTTACCTTTTCGAACTGTTTTCGAATGATTTATTAATTTTTCAAATTAGATGTAATTTTTGAGAATTTACTTTTTTATCCTTTATTTAACTGTTTGACAATTTATTTTAATTATAAATATAATTTCTTACAATTTATCTCTCACATTCTATGTTGAAATGCTCATCAATGATTGAGGAATAATAATAAGAATACAAAAGTGTCTATATATGTATATCAGGATATATTATGATCTTCAAATTGTTTTAATATATTTTCTGGTATTGAAAATACTTTTCCATGTATGAGAAGGAAAGTATAATTTATTCTTTATACACTTTACCTTCGAATCGTAGTCTAAAACCGTATATATTTCACGAATGGCCGATATTCTGTATGTTTTTCTTTACGTTTGATACACTTATCATTAAAAAAATATCATGTAAAGTTTTCTCATCATAAAAAAAGTAAATATTTCTCTTCAGAGTACAGACTAATTGGCTTTTGATATTTTTCAGTTTGCTGTTTTGTAAGTTATTTTAATAAGCGTAGAGAATTTTTCGCTTTATAATTAACTAAGCAAAGAAAGTGCTGATATACTATAATTTCCATTCAATGTATTTAAAATAGTAATATTCCACCATTTATTTCGAAATTTACGAGAGCAAACAGTACAAATGCTTCTAAATTAGTAATTCTTTACTTGCATTCATTTATTTTCTATATTTGTGTATCTTTTTATATTTGATTGATATCTGCGTTGAATATAAAAGAGAAAATTATAAATACGTCAGGATATTGCATTCGTATTAGTAATCAAATGCATATAACGCCATACTATACCCTAATGTTTACAAATTAATGGACTTTATCTGCTTGATTGCACATAGCCGGTTCGTTATGTGCACATGAGTATACGTAGGCAATTAACTATTTGCATTTGTGTACACGTGTGTGATTATACCCATTTCTTCACAAAACATTGTCTTTCAAAACTATTTATATTCTTAAATTTTCAAACATTGTTTTTTTGATAGAATATGAAAATGCTTTAACAACAATAGTAAACAATATACAATGTCACAAAATATAACTAACTGATATAATATGATAATAATCGAAATAATTTCTTATATATTCTTTCAACATGTATTTTTAGATTTCAAAATGACTATGGATATTGGACATCTTGTCGAACAACATATCATGGTACTGTTTATAGTACTAAAAGATTGGTGGCGTGCTCTAACCCATTTTATCAAAGGTGGACATCCACTCAAAGATCTTTCTTCAGAAATTATTCTTATTACTGGAGCTGCAAGTGGTCTTGGCAAAGGTGTTGCTC